TGTTCTCATATGCACCACATGTCAGGAGCTGTCGGCTTTAAGATCTGCTGCATCCCATCTGACTGTGTTGGGAATTCACCTACCTCAACCTCTCTTAAATAACTGCATACTTGTCCTTAACTTGTGACTTAATAATAATAATAATAATAATAATAATAATGGATTGCATTTATATAGCGCTTTTCGGGGCCCTCAAAGCGCTTTACAATTCCACTATTCATTCAGTCTCACATTCACACAAGGGTGGAGGCAAGCTTGCTCGGAGTTCCCACTCAAATTCATTGAAGTTTATATTTGTCATGAGTTGCATACATGGCTTTTTGATGGTTGTAATTATCTCTTGTCTTTCATGTTTCTCTTGCTTCCTGCTTCACTTGTCTGACCTCTGGTATCATGCTGTTCTTGACAAATATCCTAGAGGTTATTCTGCAGGTGCCGGGGGTGGGGGGGCGCGACGGACAATAGCAATAGTTTCCAGTTCCTTTATAGCTGTGCTTCCAGTCCAGATGATATATAATCTCTTCAGCATGTTTGAGATTTACCTCAGGGTCTCTCCTAGTTAGACCTCCCTGGGACCTCCTTAGCTTGTTTCTTCTGACACAAAGGAGCAGTGTCTCTACTGCGAGCTCCTCACCCGATCTCTGAGGATTAACCCAGCAGACTCGTTTCTGGTAAACTAACTGGAGCTCATGACTGGGGATACACTGATCCAACTTTTTCCAGTTGAAATGTGATACCAATACCTTGGTTTTGATTATCTGCTGGTACTGACTTCTGATCCAGTGTTAATGTTGAATTAATAAACTTTCTTCCTCACTAGGAGGAAGAGACTGTGAGTCTTTCACTAGGGTGTAAGGAAACATCAAGCTGAGGTTAAAATTTATTTTCCTAAGTAGGTAAAATAAAAGGTATTTATTAATAAAATATTGTAGTAACAACAGGACCAAGAGGAAGCTGCACCGGTTTCTCACACTCCATCTTCCCATCAGTTGTGAATATGATGCTGAGATACTTGAACCTCCTGTGTTTACAGCACCCGCTCATCCCTGGCACACAGGGAACCGTCAACAAGAAATAAATGTTCAATCAACTAATGATTGAACATTTGAAGATCATGAGCATTTCTACTTTGATCCATCATTTAACATTTGCCTGCGCCATTCATCGGCTGCTTTCGCACATCTGGCAAATCGAGTGAGGTTTTAAGATTTGACTGGAATACTTTTTTAAGTCTTTGGGTTTTCCTTTAGTTCTTGATTATTTATATTTTAATTTTGTGTGCTCATTAAAATGCTTAGAGTACTTTGTAGGTACAGTTAGTTTTTTCTTTGCCGACGTTGATCCTGATTTATTTTTCTGTACTGATGTTCTCTGTCTGTGCTGCGTCGTTGGCTCTGAACCTCTCATTTCTCAGTGTGTTTCTAGGCGGGTCTCACTTCACTTCAAACACTCCTGCTGTGAAAGACTTTATTACCACAGCAGCCTGTGAGCTCAGTAACATGACTCATGCCCTGTTAACTTGTGACCCGCCCAGATCGTCCTCTGAATTGCCTCATCACGCCCTCTATCCCCCCCCATCCTTACATCCCAGGATCTTTTTCATCACTTTGTTTTCGACTTTCTCCTGTTTTTTGTTCTTTTCATGAGCAAATGGAGCGAATGAGCACAGTATTTTGTAGAAAGCAGCTGTTTTTAACAAGCCAGCTGAGTCATTACATCCTCAGAATCCTTCTTGTGCAATGAAGCTGTGTAAGATTTTACTGTCTTACTATAAATATACTACAACTGAATTTTTTCTTAGTCATAGACTCTCGGAGTGGTGATGGTACACAAACCAGCCACACAATGATGTTGTTGGATTCAGACTTTTTCCTATCACTTAAACTGTTCAATTAAACTAATAATTAACACGACTAATAATGAATAACCTGAACTGCAAAAAGACAGTGAGGAGTAATGCCAGTGTTGAGAGGGACCCATCAGGCTCTACCTTCTGTCTTTATATGCAAGCAGAGGATCGTTTGCAGCAAATCACAACGACTGATGCTGAATGTTGTTCGCAGAAACAAAAATCACACCGAAGAAAATAAGATTTAGCCTTTTAGATTGTGATATTTGGAGTGGGTATAAATTGATTTGGTTCAGCACATCTGTGAAGTTCAGAAAACATTTACTGTGATTTTAACATTTTTTGCACCGCTTCATTAAGTACATCCAATATGTAATGAGCCCGCTGCTCCACCTCACCTGTCAGTCACCTGCTTTACCTGATTCCCCTGCTTGACTACAGGGAGTGTCTCTTTTCATACTGGATCCAGACTGCTGTTTTCTAACATGCTGGTTTTTGTTTCAGTCAACCACAATGGCAGGTGATTTTATTAAGGTCACTAGCTAAGTTTGGACATCTGTCAAACATGAGAAAACATCATTGGCGGGACAGATTGCCAGTTTATTACAGGGCTTTTTTTCCACTTGCACGATCAGTTGAGCCTCACGTGGGCCTGTGCTCATGTTGTCAAGTATCAGGGACATGTGGAGGCTTTTTCTGGGAGCAGGATGGCAGAACCCTCAGCTGAAGTAAAAAGCGAGTGTCAATCCTGAGTGGGGCCTCACAGTCCTTCCAACAAGTTAAATATCGAAAATATTAAA